TTATACAATGGAAGAAAGAAAGTATCTTTAACAAATGGTGCTGGCATAACTGGATGTCAACCTGTAGAGGAATGAAAATAGATCCATATCTATCACCATGCACAAAACTCAAGTCCAAATGGATTAAAGACATCAACATTAATCTGACCACTTTGAACCAGATAGAAGAGAAAGTGGGAAGTAGTCTACAAGACATGGGCACAGGAGACCACTTCCTACATAGAACCCCAGTAGCACAGACAATAAGAGCAACAATGAATAAATGGGACCTCCTGAAACTGAGAAGCTTCTGTAAAGCAAAGAACACTGTCAGTAAGACAAAAAGGCAACCTACTGACTGGGAGAAGATCTTTACCAACCCCGCATCAGACAAAGGTCTGATCTCCAAAATACATGAAGAACTCAAGAAACTAGACACTAAAACTCTAATTAACCCAATTTTTAAAAATGGGGTACTGAACTGGACAGAGAATTCTCAACAGAAGAAATTCAAATGGCCAAAAGACACTTAAGGTCATGCTCAACCTCCTTAGCGATCAGGGAAATGCAAATCAAAACCACTTTGAGATACCATCTTATACCTATCAGAATAGCTAAACTCAAAAACACCAATGATAGCCTATGCTGGAGAGGATGTGAAGTAAGGGGAACACTCATTCATTATTGGTGAGAATGAAAACTTGTGCAGCCACTTTGGAAATCAGTGTGGCGGTTTCTCAGGAAACTGGGAGTCAACCTACCTCAGGACCCAACAATTCCACTCTTGGGAATATACCCAAGAGATGCCCTATCATACTACAAAAGCATTTGTTCAACTATGTTCATAGCAGCACTATTTGTAATAGCCAGAACCTGGAAACAGCCTAGGTGCCCCTCAATAGAAGAATGGTTAAAGAAGGTGTGGCACACATACACTTTAGTGTTCTTCTCAGTGGTAAAAAACAATGACATCTTGACTTTTGCATGCAAATGGATGGAAACAGAAAACGCTTTACTGAGTGAGGTAACCCAGACCCAAAAAGAGGAATATGGTATGTACTCACTCATAAGTGGATTCTAGCCATAAATAAAGGACATTGAGCCTATAAATCATGATCCTAGAGAAGCTAAATAAGAAGGTGAACCCAAAGAAAAACATGTATTTATCTTCCTGGATATTGGAATTTGACAAAATTGCCGGGCAGGATTTGGGAGCATGGGGGTGGGGATGAGGTGGGGATTAGAGGAGATGGTTAGAGAGAAGGGAGAAGGGGAGGAGGGGGAGAGCTTGAGGGAATGGTACAGTTGAGATGAAGAAGGGGTGGATTGTGAGTAGAGAAGTATATATCTTAATTAAGGGAGCCATTTTAGGGTTGGCAAGAGATTTGACTCTAGAGGGGTTCCCAGGTGTCTGAGATGTCCCAAGCTTGTTCCTTGAGCAGCAGAGGAGAGGGTGCCTGAACTGGCCTTGTCCCATAGCCACACTGATGAATAGCTTGCATATCACCATAGAACCTTCATCTGGTGATGGATGGAGATAGAGACAGAGACCCACATTGGAGCACTGGACTGAGTTCTCAAGGTCCTAATGAGGAGCAGAAGGAGGGAGAACATGAGCAAGGAAGTCATGACAGCGAGGGGTGTGTTCACCCACTGAGACGGTGTGACTGATCTAATGGGAGCTCACCAAGGCCAGATGGAATGGGGCTGATGGAGCATGTGATCAAACCAGACTCTCTGAATGTGGCTGACATTGGAGGCTGACTGAATAGCCAAGGACAATGGCACTGGGCTTTGATTCTACTACGGGCTTTGTGGGAGCCTTGTCTGTTTGGATGTTTACATTCCTGGACCTGGGGGGAGCAGAGAGGACCTTGGACTTCCCATAGGGTAGGGAACCCTGACTGCTCTTTGGCTTAGTGAAGGAGGGGGAGGGAGAGTGGGGAGAGGGAAGGGGAGTGAAGTGGGAGGAGGGGAGGAGGTGGAAATTTTTAATAAAAAAAAGAAAAAGAAAAAATAAAAAAGAATACCCTAGGCCTGCGACCAAAGCCAAGGAAACACACCCTGCCCTTAACCAGTTCAGAAATTGAAATCCAACCAATCCCTAAGCATGAAAACCAAACCCAAAGCACAAAATCCAACCAATCTCAGAGCTCATTCCAAGCTCAAAAAATCAGGTCCTACCAAACCCCAACCTGAAAATCTTCACTTTGGAAAGTTCATCCCCTAAGAAACTATATAAACCTTTTACCTGTTTGTTTGGGGCTGCCTTTTTCTATCCTGGCAGAGGAAACCACTCTCCTGTATTTCTCCATCCCCAAAAGTCTCCTGAGTGAGGTTTGGTGTAACAATTTTCTTTCACCAAAACAGAGTAGAGCAGAGATGTAACAACTTTTGCCAAAGCCCAACAGAGCTGTCATGGCTCTTGACAGAGCACAGTGGAGCAGAGCAGAGGAGAACTGTAACACTTTGGATGAGCAAACTTTCCCCTTGATGTAGCAGAATTCTTACACTCCGAGGAAGCTGAGCAGAAAGGAGCAGAGCTGTGATAATCAGGCTGGGAAACCCCCCCGCCAGCCAGAGCAAACATCTCTCCAGAGCAAAGAAGAACAGAACTGTGACAACCCCACTGGACAAACCACTCCTGCAGGAACCAAGTTGTTAAACGTGCATTAGGGAAACCTTTCCCGGAACAAGGACTTTAACACTTCTCTGGGGAGACAGCCCCCCGACACTGGAACAGAGCTGTAAGACTTCTTTTGGGATACCTTTCCTTTCAGAGCTGTAGGTATCCCTTGGCTTCCAACTGCCAGGATACATTTCTCTTTTTTATTTTATTTTTTATTTATTTATTTATTTATTTAAAATTTCCACCTCCTCCCTGCCTCCCTTTTCCCTCCCCCTCCCCACTTCCCCCTCCCTTTCTAATCCTAAGAGCAGTCAGGGTTCCCTGCCCCATGGGAAGTCCAAGGTCCTCCCCCCTCCATCCAGGTCTATAAGGGTGAGCATCCAAACAAACCAGGCTCCCACAAAGTCAGTCCATGCAGTAGAATCAAAACCCAGTGCCATTGCCCTTGACTTCTCAGCCAGCCTTCATTGCCAGCAATGATAGCCTATGCTGAAGAGGATGTGGAGTAAGGGGAACACTCATCCATTGTTGGTGGGAATACAAACTTGTGCAGCCACTTTGGAAATCAGTGTGGCGGTTTCTCAGGAAACTGGGAGTCAACCTACCTCAGGACCCAACTATTCCACTCTTGGGAATATACCCAAGAGATGCCCATCATACCACAAAAGCATTTGTTCAACTATGTTCATAGCAGCACTATTTGTAATAGCCAGAACCTGGAAACAGCCTAGGTGCCCCTCAATAGAAGAATGGTTAAAGAAGGTGTGAAACATATACACATTGGAGTTTTACTCAGCAGTAAAAAACAATGACATCTTGACTTTTGCATGCAAATGGATGGAAATAGAAAACGTTTTACTGAGTGAGGTAACCCAGACCCAAAAAGAGGAATATGGTATGTACTCACTCATAAGTGGATTTTAGCCATAGTTAAAGGATATTGAGCCTGTAATTCATGATCCTAGAGAAGCTAAATAAGAAAGTGAACCTAAAGAAAATCATATAGTTATCCTCCTGGATATTGGAAGTAGACAAGATTTCCAGGTAAAACTTGGGTGCACGGGAGTGTGGGAGGGTGGATGTAAGGGGAGATGGTTAGAGAGAAGGGAGAAGGGGAGAATTCGGGAGAGCTACATTTCCCTTTAGAGACATAATACAGGTTTTCCTTGACTTCTGGCTGCTAGGATACAGTTCCCTCTCAGCAATAGGCATTCTTTGGCTACTGGCTACCAGGATACCCTCCTGCTCAGAGCTGTAACACAGCATGGATAGGAGTAGGCCTCTTCCTTCATGTGCTTATTGGGTTTCTATATGTTTTAATTTAAAATCGATAACCTCATTTGAATTTTTACCTCTTTCACACTTGACAGACATTATTGAAGAATTCTGCTCAAGTCATGAAAAAGTTTCTGGAATTATAAATGGTCAGAGTCTCACCATTTTGTAAGGATCATTCATTTTTATTGAACAATGACAATTCCCAAAACAACACGATTTGGTTCCTAGAATTAACATTAGGTTGATTTTCTATATTCTTGTCTTCTAACCTTCATAGCTGACCCAGAGGAGGCCTAGCTGCAAGCACATTCTGTGGGTACAGCGCGTCAGTCTTCAGTCACACACTGCAGAACCTTTGCCTTCACCTGAGTCCTGTCCAGAATCCCCCGAATTCTCCTTAGAGCCCCCAATATGCTGCTGCCTGTCACTCTACACCATCAATAGTGCTTCTAAAAATCTTTTCTCAAATAAATGTTTTGCTTTTCAATATTCCTCTGAAATTTTGTCTAGTGTGTTTGTAATTGGGATATGGGAATGCTGCTAGTTTGTATGTGTTGATTTTATGTGCTTCTACTTTGCTGAATATCAGTTTTAAGAGATTTTTGGTGGATTTAAGGGTCTCTGTGTAGAGACTCCTGTCATGTGTATACGTATGAGCACTTGACATCTTTTCCCAACCTCCTTTATCTCCTCTTGTCTTAGAGCTCTGACTAAGACTTTAAGCATAATATTGAAGAGTGGAAAGAATGTACACCCTTAGTGTCCCTGAACTTAAAGAGGATGCTTTGATTGTTGCCCATTTAGGATGATACTGTCAAGCTGTCACGTGCAACCTTTTCTAAAAACCGCTTAACCAAAGATGATAGTTCCATTATGGTTTTATTGATCATTTCTTTTAAATCAGGAAGGCATAGAGAATCTTAACTTGTCCAAGTTCTGAGAGAAATGACTATTGAATGCTTCACCATAAGTAAGAGAATTATATGAAACCCATAACTCAGGGAACATCATGGAAAAGGAAATAGAAAGAATGTTTGTGATGGAGGATCGGAAGAAGAGATGTGAAACAGTGTCTTCTGGGCAGGGCATGACCAACGTCCTTAAGAATTCACAGCAGCTGTGCTTACTGCACATGCGCAGCCGCAATATCAACATGACCATCCACATCCCAGCAGGCAGAAGAACTAGTTGGACTCATTGTGTTACAAGAAATAGGATGTGCAGGTAAGAGGAAACACAGTGGTTTGCCCAGAGAAGTTGGAGGGTTAGGGTGGATATGAGCAATGCATGTATCTATGAAACTGACAAAGAGAAAATAACAGATAGGCAAGTTTCTCAGAAAGACAACAAATCATTTATTGAGAGCTACTCTATGTCCTATATATGATAGATGTTAGATGAAAACGCCTGAAGCCCCACAGCAAAGGACACAGGAGACAGGAAAATGGTAGCACTTGTGCCACTGAAGTGGGATGTGCTCTTTTCGAAACATGTGGAGCTCCACAGTTGTAGAGCACAGAAGGCAAACTAATTTGGGGCAGTAACTCATGTTTCTCCTTGCTGCATGAAACCCTTGTAATTTGGTCCCATCCAACCGTGCTTTCAGTTAACAAGAAAGTTCCTCCACTTGTGAGATCTTGAATTTCCATAAGCCAAAGAGGGATTTAAAAATAGGCTCCCAAAAGCTCCTCAGAATGCTGCTCCATTGTATATTTCAAAGCAAGAAATGATGTTAACCCTGAAAAACACAAAAGAGAATTACCTCTTCATCAGTCAAACATATTGACCCAAAAATTATCCTTACTGTCTTGTCTGCAGGGGCACCAGTCTCACGTGTACACAGAGATCAATAGAAGCAGACCACAAGCATAAACAGTGAAATTTTGTTCAAATTTTCCTTCTTCGTGATTCCTTGAGTTTAAGTAGTTATTTGTGTGAGTATCTTTAGGATGGTGGGTTGGTGATTTACTAGAGCATGGGCAATTTATCAGTGGTACACTACCAAGGAATAGGAAAGATGTGATGGCTAATTTTATCTATCAACTTGACACAATCTGGAGTCACCTGAAAAGAGAGGTTCAGTGTGGTGTTTTCAGATCAGGTTGGCCTATGGATATGCCTTGATTATATTAACTGATGTGGAAATAGACACCTACTCTCAGTGGTGCCGAATCACAGAAAGGCGTTTCTAATCTGTAAGGTGGACAGAGCATGCTGAGCACTAGCAGATGTAGCTGGTTCATGGCTCTCTGCTCCTGACTCTGGATAGAGTGTGACCTATTTCAATAGCCTACTGCCATGGCATCCCTAAAGATGAGCTATTATCTAGAAGTGAGATAGAACGAACTCTTTCTCCACTGAGTTTCTTTCCTCAAGGTATTCTGTCACAGCCCCAGAAAGTGAAACTATGACAGACCCACATGGCATAGCATTCAATATGCACTAAGTGAACAGTGAAGTCACAGCGTGAAGTTCTGTTCAGGTGAAAAGTGACACAAAATTGACTTATATTAAGTCAATTTTATTATATTAGCAAATAGTGTGTGTATGTACATATATAGGTAAGTGTGTATTCACTCTGTCCTTATTAGTGTAGTGAACAAAACAGTGTGTTTCTCTGTCATGGTTTCGTTCACACACATCATGTACTTTGGTCACAGTGTGCTTGTTCCCTGTTCTTCACCAGATTCTGTACCCACTGATTATCATTTCTTCCCAAATGGTTATAGTTTTAATTTTGTGTCACTTATTCACCTGATTCCATGTATGACAGACAGCATGTAATTATTTGTACTTCTGTTTCTGGAGTATTTCATTTAACAGAATGATATCCAATCTAACCATGTTTCAGGAAAATTACCCCATTTCCTCTGGGTGGCAGAATAAAACCCCACTGTGTGCATACCGTCTGCGATGGTTAACATTGACTGTGAACTTGACAGATTCTAGAATCACTTAGGAAGACAAATCTCTAGCTGTGCCTGAGATGGATCATCCCGATTGCATTAACTGAGATTGGAAGGCCCACTCTACAAGTGGTGGAACCATTCCATGGGCTGGAGGAGAAACATGAGAAAGTGAGCCAAACACCGGAGTTCATTTCTCTACTTCCTAACTTGGATACCATGTGACCAGCTGCCACATGCTCCTGCTACTGTGATTTCTTTGCCATAATGCACTGTGCCCTTGAACTGTGACAAAATAAACATTCCCTTCCTTGAGCTGCTTCTGTCACGTATTTTGTTCCAGCAACAAGAAAAATGTCATCGAGATACCTTCTTTGACTAATCCACCTGTCTGTAACCTGGCAGCAAGGCTGGCCACAGAACTTGAGAATGTAAATTATTACATCCTTTTAAACCAGTAAGAACATCTCCTTGATAGCCTCATAGACCATTGGCTAGGATAAAATCCTTAACATGTGTGTTGTCTTTGCACCTATAGATCTCACCTTGTTTAGTCTGCACAGTTAAGAAGTTCTAGAGGTGGGTATAAACCTAGGCATCCTGCTCCAAAATCCCCACCCAACAGTTCTACATGAGCACACGAGCACACTTAGCAGCCAGAAGTACTGACACTGTGGAGCTTTGCTGAGCAAATGTGCCCCTTCTAGTCAACATCAGTGGGAAACGCATTGTCATTCTCTTACCGTCTTGGAAATGGGCTGCATAGATGTCAGTAAGATCCCTGAAGTCTGGGAATGGGAGCTGGATTCAGTCTTCCTGGTGATGACTTTCCTATATTCATCCCGTACCTGAGACGGAGACACAACAAAGCAAGGTAAATAAGGCTGGCATTAGGCCAGTCAGTAAGTTTGCTGCACAAAATGAGATCTTGAGTTTGGATCTGCAGCACCAACAGAAAAAAAGCTGAGTATGGCGCTCATCCCTAAACAGGACACTGCATCACCCAACACACCAAGAACAGGGACAACATAGAAAATAAGCTAAAAAGAATGTAAGAGCGGGAGGAGGGGTGCTGTGGATGCTGTCTTCCAGAAATGACAAGGTTATCACACTCATGGACTCACAACAGCTGCCAGTGTCTGCACAATATCAAGCCAGCCACATCATAGTATGGATTTGGTAAAAGACCTCAAGGACCCTCCCCTTACTGAGAAATGATTGCCAGTTGATCGTTTCTGAGACAGAGAAAATTTTCCTTCTCTGGGGATATGCTCCAATGGATGTCCCCACACCCATGCATATATGGAAAACACTATCTAGACCTAGTAAGGTTTTTCAAGTCATGAAACATGAAGCTGGTTGGGTAACATGTTCAGAAGAATATGTAGGAATCTGGGGGAAGAATTGGAGTGGATAGGAACCTAGTTTATTGTGTGCTTGTATGAAACTGTCAAAAATAAAGAAAAGTCAGAGGGCAATCAACATGGTTTCACACATCAGCAATCAGGAGACAGAGACAGAAGCATGCTTGCTGGGCCTTGACTGACAATTTCTAGCTCAACTGATGCTCCAGGTTCAGTAGGAGACTGTCTCAAAGGATAAGCTAGAAGAGCTAGAGAGAAGACTCAGTGGTTATGGGTGTGTCTTGTTCTTGCAGATGGCCCGAGTTTGGTTGTAAACACCTACGACAGGAGGCTCGCAAACACCCACAATTCCATCTCTAAGTGTTCCAGTGCCCTCCTCTGGCTGCTACAGGCACTACATTCATGTGCATAGGTACGATGACACATTCTTCTGTAAATATCCTCTGCCTTAGGAGACACTGAACTTTCCCCAAACCTTACAACTAGGTTAATAATACACCTTGAAATCATCTAAGACTATGTGTTCAACCTTGTCTCCTACCATTGCCAAGCCTGCCTAATTCTATCCTGCCTTTAAGAGGACAATGTAACGAACCTTACTGAGCCTTAGATTGCCCATGTTAATAGTTTTTAAAATCTAAGCCAAAGACATAGCTTTAATCTTAAATTATGTGTCCTCCCCTTTCCCTAGTGTAGAATAGTGTGTGTGTGTGTGTGTGTATTGTGTTGTGTTGTGTGTTTGTGTTTTGTGGTGATCATTTGCTGAGAACAACAAACAGGTTGAACAATAATCTAAAGAAAAACAAATATCCCCTAAATGTGGAAAAAAACCACATAAATACAGGTTGATATGATCTGTAGTTCTGAGTGCTCTCCTAGGTCAACTGTGGTCAGTAAAGTAATTACTCCCCTTGTAAAACTCTGTGAAAGACTTCTATAAGTAATTCCTTGGCCTTTTCCATGCTATGTTTTTTGTGCTGTCCAATAAACACAGAGTGATCCCTTTGTTAGACAGAGGCACAACATATAGACAACACATACAGGCAATACAGACAGATCCAACATATAGCACATGTAGGTCAGACAGACCACAGACCACAGACCACAGACTGAAGACAGACAGGAAACACAGGCAGGGAGGCGGAGAATTCACAGTTTGGCTTTCATTTTGTCAAACTTCTCCAAGAGGAGGTCACCCACATGTGCATATCAATTTAAATAAAGTAGTAGAGGTGAGGGGGTCTTGATGGAGAAAGACACCAAATGTCAGTTTCTAGTCTCCAGGAAAACTAGAGCACATGGACACATGTACAAATACACATGTACAACACACAATTACATACACATACACACAAATACATACAGCACACATGCATACACAACACAGAATTCTAGATAACAAAGTCGGTCTGCTTCAGACATATGAAGTGGACGGTTCTATGCAGAGACGAAGGTGGAAGTAGGCAGCCCCATACCTGGCGGTTGAGCAGACAATGAATGAGGAAGATGAAGGCTCCCTGCAGGCTGTTGATAATGGTGAACAGGTACGCCATGGTGCTTGCCATGGAGTCAATCTGGAAAATGCCCAGCACCCAGGAACAGCCCAAGATGAAGATCTGGGCAATGGCCTTGAAGGTAAGCAACCTGGAAGGTAATGTATACAGAATGAATTGTCCTGAGAGCTGGTATGGTCTCCATGGAAACACCTTGCACTGTCTGAGGATGACATCAGCTGGCTCAGCACCATGCTGGGGATGCAGACAGAGTGAAATCTGATGACTCAGGATAAATAAATCAAGTCCTATGGGCAACTAAAATGCTGTTGTCCAAAGATACACCTGGATTCAAAAATTGTGGGTGTGTGTATTGAATGCATTTAAGTTAAGCAGTGAATGGCTATAAGAGCCCATTTTCCAGACCCTTAGACATCATTATATGAAAGGTAAACCATTGTTATAAAATACTAAGAATTCCTTCTTTCATTCAGGCAAAACTCACCATTTTGAGAACATAAACTGTGATTCTGTGACTTGAGTATACTCACACATCATGCAGTCATCACTACTATGTAGTTCCAAATCCTTTTATTATCTTAAAAATTAAATGTACACATATAATAAAAGAAGCACGATACATGCAAAGTACTCACTCTCTTTTCCCCATCCTGAGGAAGACAATAGCCAAATATTCCTCGATATATAAATGAATATAATAGTTATAGGCAAATATAAAGTATATCAGATATGACATACATGGTTAATGGTCATACTGTAGAATAAAACAGATAAATGTAGAATAAAGAAAATGTGGCATGGCCATTCAGTGCCACCATAAAAAGGCATGAGGCACTGAGAGCTGACGAATGTGGGCAAATCCTATGAACTTCGTAACAAATAAAAATCTAGGCACGTGCCATTTATCATGTGAATTTATTTAGATACCAAGGCTAGATTAGGAGAGACGGATGGAGGGAGAGAGAGACAGAGAACATGTGACGCCAAAGCTGTTTTGTGAGATAATACGATGATGACAACAGTGTGAAGGAGAAGAGGGGAAGGAGAGTGAGTGACCACATGCTGTGCTTGGCACAGGACTAGGCTCAGGGCCAATCAGGGAATGATTGCTTCATTGACTAATTCTCAAACCTTTGTGAGACACTCACCTTCTCTGTACCTCACACTTCCCACATGACTCAGGGGCTCACACTGGCTCCCTAGCCAGAGAAAGAGACTCCAGACCAGACCATATGACTCTCTGTAACCCTAGCACGCAAGAATCATGGATTACAGACCTGCTTGTCCTATGGGAGAATCTGTCTCAAAATAGACAGACATTTTAAAATATTAGTGTTTTCTCACATTTCTGTGTGGTGTGTGTGTGCATCTCTGTGTATGCATATGTGTGTGGTATGTGTACATGTGCATGGGAATGGATGTATGCATGTGTATGTTCATGTGTGCATGTATGTGGATGGATGTGCATTTTGTACGCATATATGTGCTTGTGTGTGGCTGAAAATGCATGTGTGAATGCACATTGTGTATTTACATTTGAGTGTATGGGTTTTTACATGTGTGCTGATGACAGTGTGTGCATATTGTGCTTGTATGTTTATGTATACTTGGGTGTGGGAGTCTGTGTGTGCATGTTTGTATTATTTGCATGTATTTGTGCATGTATCCACATTTAAATTTGTGCATGTGTCCATTTTTGTCTGTGTTTATGTGTGCATTTGTATGTATGCATCTATGAGTTCATGTGTGTAAGAATGTGAGTGCATGTATGTATGCATACATCCATGTTAGTGTACATGCGTGTGCTTATCTGTGTTGGTTTGAAAGAAAATAGCCCACAATGGTTGTGGCAGTATTGAGAGGTGTGAATTTGTTGGAGTAGTTATAGCCTTGTTGGAGGAAGTGTGTCAATATGGGGGTGGGCTTTCAGTTCTCCTGTGCTCAAGCTACTTCCAGTGTCACAGTCGACTTCCTGTTGCCTGTGGGATTAATATGTAGTAACTCCTTCTCCAATGCCATTTCTACCTACACACCGTCATGCTCCCCACCATGATAATAATGAACTGAACCTCTGAAACTGTAAGCCACCACTACTGTGAGACAATCGTCCTGTATTCTGTAAAGTTTTGTCACTTGTACTGGTTTAGTAAAATGCTTATTGGCCAGTCGCCAGGCAGGAAGTATTGGCAGGAGAATTCTGGGAAGAGGAAAGGCTCAGTCTGCAGTCATCACCTAAATGCAGAGGAAGCAAGATGAGAATGCCACACTGATATAAAGGTACCAAACCACATGACTAACACAGACAAGAATTATGGGTTAATTTAAGATGTAAGAGTTAGTTTGTAAGAAGCTTGAGCTAATAGGCCAACCAGTTTATTATTAATGTAGACCTATGTGTGTTTCTTTGGAACTAAACAGCTGAAAGGACCAGGTGGGA